GGTTTCCTAGGGGTTAAATTAATTGCAAGGGACCATTTTATCTCTGCAAAAACAAGGTTGGGCTCCCTGGTTCATGGTCTTTGTACATCCCAGTTGTTTCTCAGCACTCATTTATCACAGCAGGCATTTTGACTAGTTAGGGGAGCTTTGAGCTCCAATCCCACCTTCCTTGGGATTTTACATGACCTTGGCCAAACACTAAATTTCAGTTTCTTGTAGCCTAATGTCCTTTCTTAAAATGAATATTATTTGAGTTTTCCTCTGAGTTGTATAGCCTAGAGTTATATCATATACCTTAGTGTTTTAGTTTAATTTTTAGGCCTTTAGGCTGATTTGTACAACTGCTATGCTTGTAACCCTAGGACAGTGGTTCTCAACCTTCCTAATGCCGCAATGTATTTTCATTGTTACAAAGGGATTGCGATCCCCAGGTTGAGAACTGCTGGCCTAGGAACTTGTAATAATCAAACTTTCGAAGACAAAAGCAAACCTTATTTGAAAGCTCATTTTGTTTGCCTCATCTGAAGTTATTAATGGACTCGAATTTTTTTAACCATGTATTTCAATTAATTGATGTTCGTTTTCTTCTTGGCACTCAAATTGCCGTAACTTGATTTGTGGCAATCTCTTTAAATTGGTTACTTTATCCCCAAACATTCTTGCCCTAAAGTTTTAAGGCCCATTTTTGGATTTTTCTAGTTGAAACACATCATATCAGGCCCTCTTCTGGTTTCTTTTAATTCAGAAGAGTTTAAAGCACAAAATCTGAATGTTTGGGGAGTACATGAGTTTGGGGTGCTGACCAAAACTATTGTTGCTGTTGTTGGGCACACCAGTGACAGAGCTGGAACAGGTCTTTCTTCTAAGTTCTTCATGTATCATGCTGTAAATAAGATTGCATTTAAAGTTGGCTCTGATACACCCGGCTCTGCTAAAACACGCTTGCACTTAAGAGCTTTTATCAGAACACAATTGACTACTCTTTCATCATATGTACTTGTGGGCATCAAGCAGTACTTTTTAACCCCATTACTGAACTGGTTCCAGTTTGGCGTTATTACTCTATACAGCACTGAATAGCTGTCTCATCTGAGGTGACTCTTTGCCAGTAATATCTTGAGTTTGGACCCCAATGTATTGCTGCTTCACAGTTTAATCCTGTACTTTGATAGAGCAAATTGTCCAATAACTTTCTAAGATGTTATGATTTCTTCTTGCATTTCTGGAAACGTCTTTTCCTACCATTCCATATGACCGGTAGATTGGCAGTCTACCAGTCCGTACATCATTTTACCTCCAAATCTCTGAGGCATCCCTTCATTGCTTTTCAGTCTCTAGCTTCGGTACTGAGGAGTCTGGCAACATTCTGACCCAAGTTCCATCTACTGCACCTACCCTCATCCTCTCATTGGAAGCCTATGAAATTTTGTCCCTACCCCTGATATTTGGAAATGTCCTTCTGTAAGCTCAGTTCATTCATTCTGCTGGACACTTGGTGGGCTCTTTCAGTGTGGCAAGTCAAGAAAACTTCCTTTCTGCTCTGGCCGGGCGTGGTGGCTCATGCCTGTAACCCTAGGACTCTGGGAGGCTGAGGCGGGTGAATTGCCTGAGCTCACAGGTTCAAGACCAGCCTAAGCAAGAGCTATACCCCATCTCTAAAAATAGCCAGGCATTGTGGCAGGTGCTTGTAGTCCCAGCTACTCGGGAGACTGAGGCAAGAGAATCATTTAAGCCCAAGAGTTTGAGGTTACTGTGAGCTGTGATACTAAGGCACTTTACCAAGAGCAACAAGTGAGACTCAGTCTCAAAAAAAAAAAAAGAAAGAAAGAAAGAAAGAAAACTTTGTTTGTGCTCTGGAGGAATTTTTTAAGGTGCTTTTCTGTTTCCCCCAGAGTGGCTCTCTGTTCTTTCTCTGTGCCTCCTATATTAGTCAGGTACAAAACTCTTGGCCTGACCCAGGACTTTCCAACATTCTCCATGTTCTGGCACACACAGAAAATGATAGTGGCATGGACTTAGGGGCAAGGCTTCCTGCTACAGAGGTGACTACCCGAGAGCTTCAGCCACCCTGGCCCACCCCAGGTACCCTGAGTTGAAGGGTTCCATTATCCCTCAGACCTCTTCCCTCTCTTGGATTTTCTGCCACCACCACGTTTTGTTCTATTTTCTGGAAGAAAGTTCATGATTTTATCTTCTAATCCTTCTAATGATTGTTAATTTCAGCTACTACACTTTCATTTACAAGGACTTTTTCTCCTTCTCTGATGCTCTTTTCTTTCTGGACTTTTTTTTGGGCAGCTTTTTGGCTGGGGCTGGGTTTGAACTCACCACCTCCAGTATATGGGGCCCGCGCCCTACTCCTTGAGCCACAGGCACCACCCTCTGGACTTCTTTTTTAATTGAGTTCTCTTCTGCTTCCTGCATTGTCTTTCTCTGGGGTCTTTTTCTACTGTGGTTGGCATTTGCTTCATTTTATTTAGGTCTGTCTCTTTCATACCTAGGCTTCCCCAAAATGCCTGATAACCCTTGATGTCAGTCCATATTTATGAGGAAAATGCAAAGAACACTAGGACATGTCAGCTGAGGGCTTCATTGCAGCATGAAAGGAGTCAATAGTGTTTTTGGTTGAAGAACCAGTAAATGGAGGAAACATCCAGTGTGGCTGCTGGTAGAAGCAGGCAGGGTAGGGACTTCCAATGGATCTGCAATCCACTTATCTCAGCCCAGCTCAGGGCCTCCCCATAGTGCCCACAGGTCCCCAAGTTTGAGCATTTTCATTATCACTTTGCAATAATGAATAATACATTAATGCTTAACAATTAATCATAAAGAGATTAAAGTGATCCTAATCTTAGGAAGAAAAACAAACTCAAATTTAAAGTTTACCACCCACTAAAATACTCTAAATATCAAAAAAATTATAAACAATCCAGTGAGATTTTGGCCCTTTCAGTGAACGTGCCAGTAGTAAGGATGCATCTTTCAGATCACAGTGCAAACTCAATAAATAAGTAAATAAGATAGCCACGTGTCCTTCATATATATGAAAACATACATATGTACATATGCACATGTATAATTCATCATGTATTTCAAAATTATTTACTACTTTAAAAACAGTATACCTTTTAAAAATAAAAGTATTTAACCACAGATGTAAAAACTAGATATTCATGAACAATTTTATATATTTTTTAAACACATCTACCAAATCTATCCTAGCATCATTTTTTTCCTGTAGCATCACCAGTAACTTTGAGCAGGTAATGTTCCTAATTGATTTTGTTCAACCGATCATGTCTTAATTTTTTTATATGTCAGTATTTAATTGTGCTTTTTTTTTTTTTTTTGGGAAAAAGCCCTAAGCTGACCCCCCCCCCCCCCCCCCCCGGTAGAGTGCCGTGGCATCACAGCTCACAGCAGTCTCTAACTCCTGGGCTCAAGCAAGTCTCCTGCCTCAGCCTCCCAAGTAGCTAGGACCACAGGCGCCTGCCACAATGCCCGGATATTTTTTGGTTGCAGCCGTCATTGTTATTTGGCAGGCCGGGGCTGGATTCCAACCCACCACCTTAGATGTATGTGGCTTGGGGCCTTAGCCACTTGAGCCACAGGCCCTGAGCCTAATTGTGCTTCTTAACTTCTATTAAGGGTGTTTTCATTTTCTACAAAATCAACCATTCCAACACAGCTTTAATGGAAACATGGGCTCCTGCTTTGTCCCCACTTTGTTTTCTTGTATTTAAATTGTGTTTCTTATATGTTTAACTTCTCTGAGCAGCAGAGGCCTCACATGTAAACAAAGCAATTACTGTACACATATTCATTTTTCAGATGTCTTGGCCTAACCCAGGTCCAGCAAGCCTGGAAATAGGAGGTGTGTGCTCTTCCATCCACTGGGATGCCCTTATCACCAGCTACATAGAAAAGAATGTTGAATAAGTTCATTCCAATTTCACTCTACTGTTACTGGTCTGAGTTAACTGTAATAAGCTGAATTGTAATAAGATGCCTTGGATTGGAACTGCCCTTATTTAATTACATTTCTGTAGTCAAGTTGACCAAAGTGCCTTTCTTGGTGATGGCACAAAGTCACAATGGATGCAATTTACTCCTAGGTGGCCATGAAACAGCCTGGTACACCCCATCCATACTGATAACAGCACTCATTCAAGTTAATCACAGGAACACAACAGCCCCAGCAATATAATGTGATCCCCAGGACTTTAAATCCAAAGGTTACCTAAGGCACATATCTTATCTCACCGGTCCTAAACCACACCAAGAAGCAAGCAGTAAGCCTTTGGGTATATTCCTGTCACCAGGAACACTGGTCTCAAGGAAGCAAAAGCTGCTGCAGCTTCTCCCTCCCATTTGAGTATTCCTGACAGCAAGTGAAAACTAATTTTCTACACATTTTCCAACATTGAGTTTTAAGAGCAAAAGGGGGTTAGAAACTAACTAAAATGCCAATTTCATGTAGCACACAAACTCCAAACACGGTTAAAATTTCCCCCCATGTCCTCCTTCCCTTGAAGTCATCAAATCTTGTAATATTTTGCCCGCAGTGAGTTTACTTTAAAAAAAAAAAAAAAAAGAGCAGTAACAAAATCTGGAGAACTCACGAATTGTATTCACAGGCCTGAGGCCCTTTTAAAGTACTGCAGAATTTGCCAAACTGCGGAGCGCAGGCGGGGCCCATCCAGAGAAAAAGCGCTGGAGGACCGGGTCCCTGCTCTCTCCTCCACCCCTCGCACGTTCCCAACGCCTGGCACTCCGTGGCGCGAGACCACCACCTGTGGGTCGCGGGGCGAAAGTGTCACCCGTGGACTCTGGGACGGTGGGGGATGTCACCGTGGCCGCGAGGACAGCCACAGGATCACCTGTGGCCGGGGAGGCTCTGCACGGCCCCCATCCCGCGCCAGCCGCCTCCAGCTTGGGCGCTGGGGGTCTGGGCGGTCTGCGGCGTCACCGGCCAGGCAGGGAGACCATGCGTAACTCACCCGGCTGCGTCACTGTCCGCCGGAGAAGGGAACCTGATCCCGGACGCTCAGCCCCAGTCCTCCGCCCCGCAGGGACTGCCGGGGTCATGCGCGGGCACGCCCCGCTGCTCCCGGCTCCGGGCTCCCAGCGCTCGGTCCCCGCCGCCGCCCCTCCATCCCCGCGGCGCTGCAGCGGATAACCGAGCCCCGCGCGTACGAGTGGGTCCCACACCAGACACGTACCCCAGAGTCTCAGCGCCGTAGCCAGGAGCGAGCAGAGCGGCTGGAAGGAGGTGTCCCAGCCGCCCTGGGCCTCAAATACTGGCCAGGCGAAGAGGCGGGCCGAGGACTGGGCGGGGAGCCGGCGCGCCGCCAGCCCCGGGGCCGGGCCCGGGAGAGGGAGCGCCGGGGAAGTAGGTGCGCCGGTGCGGGTCAGGTGCGCTTTGACGTCAACCCGGGTAGCCTGGCCCGTCCTAGCCTTTTGGAGGAACCGCTTCTTTCTTGGGGCTCTCACTTTGTTCTCTGGACACTAGAGAATCAATGGGAGCCTTGGCCCTCAGGGAGTTCTCCATCTGGGGGCGACAGTGCGCAGCGCACCAGCGTGTTTACTGTGCTTTTGTAGTGACACAAATACCAGCTTAAACTGAACATGGGCAGAACAGAAATTTATAATGAGGAACGCCCATGAGATCATGGTGTGTGTTCAAAGACTTACAATACACTTCAGCCTCATAAGAACTGGACCTCAGGGTACTAACAAATTATACAAATGAATACGAAGATCCTGTCTGCCATCTGCAAAAATCTGGAGTGACTAGGGGTGGGGAAAATGCCAGCCAAGTTTTTAAAATGAGTTCAACTTTGGGAACCTCAAGCTATTTCCTGCCTTCGTCCTTACCCTCAGGAGAGTTTCTCAACACTGATACTGTTGACATTTGAGCCAGGTAATTCTTGGTAGTAGGGGGCTGTCCTGGAATTATAGAATGTTTCACAGCATCCCTGGTCCTTTTTAGAGGGGTAGCATCGTATTATCTATCAATAGCTCAACAACTTACTTTTTCCACTTAACATAGTTTGGAGATCCCTCTGATTTGGTACTTATAGATCTCCTTTTTTGTTTGTTTGTTTGTTTAAGACAAGAGTCTCATTATATCTCCCCCAGTAGAGTGCTATGGCGTCACAGCTCACAGCAACCTCAAACTCTTGGGTTTAAGCGATTCTCTTGCCTTAGCTTCCCAAGTAGCTGGGACTACAGGCGCCTGCTACAACACCTGGCTATTTCTATCTTTCTTTTTTTTTTTTTTGTACTTGTTTAGCTGGCCTGGGCCAGATTGCAACTTGCCACCCTCGGTGTATGTGGCTGGTGCTGTAACCACTGTACTACGAGCATCGAACCTCCTGTTTTCTTTTCTTTTCTTTTTTTTTTTTTTTTTTGAAAAAAGAGGTTTCTTATGTCACCCTTTGTAGAGTACTGTGGCATCACAGCTCACAGCCACCTCAAACTCTAGGGCTTAAGTGATTCTCTTATCTCAGCCTCCCAACTAGCTGGGACTACAGGCTACCGTCACAATGCCTGGCTATTTTGTTGTTGTTGTTGTTGTTGCAGTTGTCATTGTTGTTTAGCTGGCCCAGGCTGGATTTGAACCTGCCAGCCTTGATGGATGTGGCCGGTACCCTACCCATTGATCTATGGGTGCCGCCTAGATCTCCCTTTTTCAGGCTCAGTACTCCTTTGAGTGCCATTTGGATTATTTCTGATCTTACCTCTTTACAAGTAATGCTGCCACAAATGAGTGCAGCACTTCTCAAACTTCACTGCACATACAGATCATCCCATGCTATTGTCAAAATGCAGATTCCAATTAACTAGGTTCTGAGATTGGGACTTTATAACAAGTTCTATGTAGCTAATCCTGCTGGTCCATAGACTAACAAAGAATTTAGTGTGAATATTGTTTTCCATTAAGGAAGAAGTACCCATTAATCCAGATTCCTAGATTCTTAAAAGAGAATTACAGGAAAAGAGGTAAATACCTGTATATTTTTGTTGATTATTGTCAAATTCCCCTTGGTAAGGGTTATGTCATTTTGTCCTCTCACCATCAATACGTAAATACTTCTTTCTTCCAAATTTGGAAGAAAAATCTCTGGGTTTTTACCAATCTGGTAGGTGAGAAATGCTATCTCAGTGTAGTTCTAATTATCATTTGCTTTATTTTGAGCTAAGTAGTTTATCTTTTCATATGCCTAAAGGCCCTTCTGTCTTTCTTAGGGTTTCCCCTTTGAATTGTTTCACTTTTATTCTTTGTTTTAATTCACTTAAAGATTTTTTTTTTCCTTCTTGGGTCTTATGAGCTTTTCATAATTTTTTTTTTTTT